GGACTCACGATTTCCGCGATAGGGCACCACGATGCCGACGATGATTAATTTTCGAGGCCGCTTTCTCTTAATAGCCCGCCTTTCTATCGATGTACTTTTTTGGGACACCAGCGAGTCTGTCCAAAATTTTGTTTCGTTCCTCACGTGCGTCGAACGCGACGTCCATGATGATCACACCCGACTTTCTTCTGATACATTATTTGAAATATGATATCTGATATTAAGAGAAAAGTACTCGTGGGAAATACAAAATCTGTTCCTTTTAAAATAAAAAAAACATCTCGATTATTGAGGAAAATACATTTTTATAAAACTTTGAAAATCGTTTTTAACAATCGAATAAATGCACAAATAATATTTTTCTAAATGAATATTGCGTGTTTTGTGTAGATATAAAATTATCATTAGGAACAGTTTTAAAAGTCAGAATAATTTTAACCTGGAAAATCAATATTTCAAAATGAAGCTTTCTGTTATCAAATCATCTCTGTGATTGTCGTTAATTATTTAGGATTAAGGCTACAAAAATATGTCCCACTGTAATCATATAAATATCCGGGCTAGTTCGGTCGACTATGAAATGTCGGGTCTCTGATTGAATTTTTCAGTCGTGGAAATTCAAGTAGAAGAATATAATTGGTTGATCGAATTTAGCCTGAATCGTGTGCAACATAAGGAAACCCGATGGTATAACTACTGCCCGCAAACAGATGATGGAAATTTAGCGGAGCATTGACTAAATTTATACGAGCTCGTGATAGCACGACGAACGAGTCGTCCAGACTAAATAGTCAATGAAGCAAAGCGACGCTTCATAGTAACTGATTGGAAACTGTCCGTGGATTCTCTTTTTTTTTTCAAACGTCTCGTGACATGTTTCCTCGACACTTTTAATCCGATGTATTCGGTATAGCTACTCACGACACGTCGGTCGAATGCATAAGGGACATCTCTCTGACGGAGATAAAAGGCCAACCGGGTGGTTAAAAAAAAGAGGAAAAGAAAAATCCGAGGAAAAATCAGAGTGGAAAAATTCGATGAACGTAAGTAATTCGCCGGGTTCCTTTTTCTGGGGACTAAAAAAATGAAGGGAGGAAACAATCTTCCAAGGAATTTTAGAATATTGGTTTAAGCCTTCGAATGGAACTTACTTATGAGATTCAATGTCGAATAACATCATTTGATTGTACATGTCATCTTATATAATTCTAATGATCTCTATTCAAATATGGAATTATGCCAATAAGAGCACCCTTCGACTAAATCAAATATCAAAGTGAGTTAGGTAATATTAATTTTGGTAACATTAATCTACTCGATACTTAGTGCATTATTACTTAGAAATTTAATACATTTTTTAAATTTAATATGACGTTTGATAAATTGCGATATTACGAAATAAAAAAGTACTTTTCCATTGAAAGAGCCTCAGGCCAGAAGTATTGCAGGATGAAAATGCCCGGGGAGATCTGTCTACCGGAAATATTCGAGCCGCACCGTAATCTTCGCGCTCGGGAAATCAAACGTTGAGAAAAAGAAAAAAAGAAGCGTACGCGAAAGAGAACGCGTTCACTCGCACTTTCGCGTATTATCTACCGTATCGTTATCCCTCGGCGTATGCCAGCTACCATAAGCCATTTCCGGATGGACGAGTTAGCACCCATGCGGGTGAGAAATCTAGGTCAGACATCCATTGCTGTCGGTTAGCTTTCGAGTCCCGTTCTTATCGGTCGTGGCATTACGCAAATGCAGGTGAACGCAGTGCTCTCGCGAAGATATTTCGAGAAATGAAAATGAAAGTGTCAAACGATTCGGGTGAGCAAACGCAAGTTCACGAAATAAGCGTAATATTTACATGAACATTGGATGGATAGTCATAAATAATCAGTTATTTGATGAGCCCTGCTTTGTTCGATCATTCATAAAAAGAACAGTTTTGCTGGAGTAAAATTTTAGATAATGAAAAATCTGAAAATAATTTTCTTGGACTTATTAATAGGGTTGCCGTAAAATTGGGAATCAAAGAAATCAGGGAAATGTCAGAGAAATTGAAAATAGTCAGGAAAATCGGGGAAATAAAAAAACTTTTATCAAAATTTTTTAGAAAATTGAAATTCTTTAAAGAAGTTTAATATGCGTACATTACATCTATGCAATTTTGAAATACTATTAACTTAACAATTAATGCAAGCAATGGTAATTAGCACTCAGCAATATTAATAGTAATTACTCTCTCAACAAAATATTTGACAGTTTCCAAATCAGAATAAAAATATAAAAAATATTATTGAAAGGATCGAAAGGATTGAAAGGATTATATCAGGGATCATAAAATTTTGTCCCTGGAAATCAGGGAAAATTATGGAAATTTTAGGATGAGGAATTTGTCATCAAATAATTATATTAGAATTATATTTAGAAGCTGAAATATAATGAATGATGCAAAAGATTTTGATATTCTAGCAACCAGTTTGGACACGTCCTACATAATTATTTTGATAGTCCAACAAAATTATTTTTCAGATCTGTATCTAACTGAATTTTTAAGTACTTTAGTAAACTCATTTCTTTCTTGATTTTAACGGTATCGGATCTTTCGCCAATATTTTTGAAGATGATGTTAGAAATCGCGTAGAGTATTCCACAAACCGCACGAATTAAGATAAATAAAGTCTTTACAAGGAAAAATCCGTTTTTGCAGAAGTAGCGGTAAACGCGGCGCAAGTCACTTCCGTATTCCGCGCGAGTATTACGAAATCTTGTGCATTGCTTACGCGGTCCTTTACTTCCGACGTCGGGATATATGACGGCTGTCCGGAAGACGATTCGCGAAATTGGACTTAGGAAAGATCAGCAATCGTCTGTGTGTCGTGACTCAATTTTCAAGCGGAAAGGCGTTCCGGTATCAGCTGAGGGACTTGTGCGATTTCCTCCGCGCGATTTTTTGAAATTGGAGCCAGTTCGGCGTTTGCAGTACGGTGTACGAGACACCGCTTCTGGTTTCCATCGGGATCTCGCAACGTGCACCACGATACCGTGTTATTCGAGTCACGAGTAGAGTATCCCAGACGAGCAGCTTCGTCTTCCTCTCTCTCCATTTCTTCTCGATTTCTTCGTTCCCCGTTGCGACGATCTTACAACAGACGATTCGCGTCCTGAGATTCCGCTGTCTTGAAAAAAAAAATAATGAGGAAATTTTCGATCCCCTACTGCGACGTCGATCGACGGTTCCATCGCAGCATCGGTCGTTTGCGTTAAACGAATTTCGAGTCTCCTCGCGGCGCGGACGCTCCAAAATTTCACGCGTAATTTTCGCAGCTTTCGCGTTCCAGTTACGGTTTACATATGGCTGTAGGTTGCTGTAAAACTCGTTATTGCGAGATTCGGAGTGGAAGTGCGTTGTACACTGCAACGAGCGTCACTTACGTCACTTTCTCGTTACGGCATTTCTAATTTTAACCTTTTCATTGAAAACCTCTTTTTTCTTTTTTTTAATGAAAACTTCAATTGAGACGTGCGACGCGAATATCTCATCGTGCGTGTGTCTTTCACCTGTGCCGTGGTCCCTACCGCTCTTCTGCAGAGAAAGAGGGAGGAACGCGAGCGAAAAAAAGAGCAGAAACGATCGGGTGCAATGGTGGGAGTAATGCCGTCGATGGTGGGCCTGTTTGGGCCTTACGTCGTGCTGATGAGGGAGAGCGAGAGGGGCGAATGCGATCGAGATCTTCAGTAGGTCACTGGGACGTGGCTCGTGGCCGAGACGAGTGTGGCTCGCACCTTCAGTCGGTCCCCGTCGGCCAGGAAAATCACCTCTGGGTCCGTCGAATCCTTGCGATCGCACACGACGGTAAAAAATAAAAGAAAACAGAAAAAAAAAACAAGAAAGGACTCGGAGGAAAGCAAAACGCGTATAGCGGGCCCGATGAGGACCAACTGACGCGAGTTGTTGGAGCCTTCCCGTTGCGGTTGGTGCATTCGTGGGTTCGTAAAGGGGGAAAAGCAGGTGCTTTTCCTCGGGGGGATCGTCCAAGTGATCGCGGGTTTCTTCGATACGAACGAGGCGCCCAGAAACCGGAAGAGCACGCAACGAGGTGCATCGATTAATGTTCTTCTTCCGCAAGACTGGTCTCGAATGCGTTCCGCATTCCGAAGGGAGCTGTCGTAGTCGCGCGTGCTTTCGTATGTTCGCGAGAGATATTATCTGACGAGTACTTACCCGGTATTGTTGTACTTGCAAATTCTTACAATATTTAATTGGAATTTCAATAAGTAGCGAGGAGTAATGTGAGCATCGAGACTGTTTTCGTGAAATTAAATTAATCACCTTTCGTTGTCACCGACTGTGATTATATCGTATTAATCTTGCTAAAATGTCTACAATTGTATCATACATGCACGTGATTCTTAAATAATTTTATAAGAATGCAAAGTCTAGAATGTGTGTAGTGACTTCACGCAGTGTTTCACGAGTGTAGATTTATTTTTAGGCTTAAGTAGCTTTTTCCGATTATACGTTCCTTGATTCTGAGATGTGAGTTTATTGCATAACGTGCAGCCATTGACACACACACACACAACACACAAACACACACACACACGCACGCACGCACGCACACGCACGCACGCACGCACGCACACACACGCACGTACGCACGCACGCACGCACGCACAACACACACACACACACACACACACACACACACACACACACACACACACACACACACGTCCAACCGTTGATAAAATTGACGGTTATGTTTTAATTATGTTATCGTTACTTTGGCATTCTTAATTGATGAATTAAGATCTTATTTGATCAATATTATACTGCACATGTTATTAAATTTATCTATTTTAACGAATAACGTCGTATCACTGTGATACTCACGTTATCGACGATCAAAAGTTATTTAAAAATGTATTCTTTTCGGATAGATGGATTATGTAAGACGATAATGTAACTATCAATTTTTCAGGTTTTTTTCTTTGTATTATTACAGAGAGGACACGCACATGATGGAGAGGACGTGGCGGAATATACGGAAGACGGTCTTTCTTTTATTGCTGTCCTTACTATTGGCCGTGAGTGAAGTTACTTTCTCAAAAATTAATCATAGAATTAAATCGCTTTCTTGTCTATTAATAATAATTACAATTAATTGGGCATGAAGCAATATCTTTATAAATCTTACAAAAAATTCGACAATTTGACACTCAGCTTATTTTTCATAAAAAAATAAATGAAAAATATTCCAAACTTTTAACAATGAGTGACTTATTAATTAATAATTAATTAATTATAATTTATTCGTCTTCACTTTATTCATTTAATTATCTTCCTTCTTTTCTAAATAAATAAGTAGACATATTAGAGCTTGATATACTCACGAGTATCTCTTACTTACTTAATTATTTTAAAACAAAGAAAGATAATTAAATGCATAAAATAAATCATTAATTAACAATTGTTAAAAGTTTGAAAGCTTTTTCATTTTCTTATAGGCATAATAGAGTTTGATAGACATTTCGCGAATTTGTTCCGCAAATAAATCGAATGAATCAATCTGACAAATACACCGTCAATTTTCTAATTCCGCAAGAGACCGATTATATACTATATTCCCGTTTATGTGCGTCGCGCAATACGTCCGTTCATAATACCCTACGGTAAATTTGCATGCCACGACGATCGACATTGTAATTTCACTGCGCAATAATTCTCAGTTGAACAACGAAGATTACTACTCGCGGTTAGAACGCATTCTCTCCCCCTTTCGAAGTGATAGACAGGTCGTTAATACGATAACCGTTATGATGCGACGCGTAAAATGAGTGAAGTTATTTACGCACCTGTAGTGTGTACATTGTATCTTTACGTTTTGTGACGTTTTGTGACGTTTTGTGAATTATACATGTTTAGAAATAGAATTACCGGCGCGTCCAGCGTCCCATAATTACAGCCTGGAACAATGTCGGGCATCGTACACTTTCAATATTGATTAAATCTGTCAAGTGGAAGCACGTATATCATAGAGACAATATAATGAATTTTGCTGATGGTAACAATTATTAAGGAATTTTTATGCGACGCTTATTTCCCGAATAATCGACACTTCTCGGAGATTTAAAACTGAAAAAATTCACAAACATTCCCGGTATTTATCGGACTTGCAGGACATCTTCTTTTTATTGAAAACTTCACTCAGATCTGAGCGTTCTCGAATCCTCGAATCTAATTTACCGTGTTAAAAAAACCATCATCCCACGCATAGAAATTCACTAATTCTGCGTGGAATGATGGAGGAAATCGCCGTACTCGAGAAATTCGAGGATAATTGACGAGACGATTGACGTGTGTTTCAACGACCGTTAAAAGAACTGATGTAACCGTTAAAAAATTCATCCGATCCCTCGCAAAAAGTGATACTTCATTGATGTTTGGCGTATCTCCGGGACCGCTATGCGACGTGTGCACGTGCCGCTGGCCGAGAATCAACACAACGTTAAGTTAATGCTTAAGAGGAATCACCGTAGCCGCGGGCTGTACCTGTGCCACATATAATCCGCGACGCTGATGCTTTCTGAGGCAAAAGTCTGAATGAAGTGGCTTGACCGCGTCGTTTAATCGGTAAATACGGATACGCTCGCGGGGACGCTTGTTAACGAATGATGATCGTCTTGTGGATTATTCCCGCTCTACACTTCTGTGAGAATTCACTTCTCCGCGTGGGAATTGAATTAATTGTTTTTCAGAAGGTATCGTCGATAGGACAATTACATCGTGCAAATTTACATGGAGAGGAACGATTTTAATTTAACACAATTTAGAAGTAGATTAAATATCTAAATTGTTGGATAGATTAAATTTTGATGAATTAAATTTTGATGAAATATCTAACAAATTAAATATATATAGATCTGAAAATAATTTTGTTGGACCATCAAAATGATTATGTAGGGAATTTAAGCATAACGAGCAATGCTGTAAAAAGTTATGCTGTAATAATTATTTTGATAAACCAAGAAAATTTATTGTCGTATATCTATTTAATTTTTTAGATACTTCAGCAAAATCGTTCGCGTGTTCATTTTCATACTACATTTTCTCACGCAGACCGCAGTGGTTAAAAGTTAAAAAGAAATTGACAAGTATAAACGAAAAAGTATAACGCAGAAAGATGCGATTCGATTTTGAGAAGATTAATATTCTTTAAACTGTTCCATTCTTATAGCCTTTTTTTATTTCGCATGCGGTTTTCATTTATGTAAGTTTCTTTATATTTACTGCTCCGCTGAATAAGAAATCGATTTTGCAGCATTAGCATAACGTTGCTTTAATAATTCAATTAATCGAGACAATTTATGTTAGTATTTCTGATGCAAATGATAAATAAATAAATAATGTCTAATGAGAGTTTCGCGCTAAATAGTATAACATATTTAATTTTGAAAAAGTAAAAAAAGGTCTCTGCATTCGCTTTATTCCATCAAATCTTCGTGCCCGTTTCGTTTACTTGCATTATTTATCTGGTTATATGGAGTCGTTCTCTACAACAAAGACACCATAAAGAGCGTAACGACGTTCAACATAATAACTGATGGGAGAAAACACAGTGAGAATCAAATGAGAATGTACGCGCTGCGAGAAACTAGCGCGTACAGCTGTCCAATTTGTAATTGGCTTCAATATTTTTTGAGATTTATCGAAGAAACGAGCAAACGGAGGCGGTGAGCCGCGTCAGATGCAGGAGGGTGTATCCTCTATAATTTACGTGTTTCCTTTCCGCGCAGCAGCGTGACAGTAGTACACACCGATATAATAACGCCGAATGTAACCGTCGTACATACAACGGCGGAAGATAAAGTAGGAGGAAATACGCGGCCGGCGCATCCACATTTACGCCTCTTGTGTATGTACCTGTTATACCCCTGCCGTGCGTGCTCTTCTGTGTGAACACTACACACTCTAACCGCTGACTACATAGCCGAGCCGTCGAACCGAAGATAGTAGGTCACTGCGCCGGACGCAATGCCCTCTTTCAACTATACTCTCTAGACGGTACTCTCTCTTCTTCTGCTTCCCGCTATCTTCACTTCTTCTTTCTCTCTCTCCATCGTTCATCAGCTACCTTCTTTCGTCCTCCCATCTCTCTTCGCTTCTCACGCTTTTTCTCTTTTTCCTCCATCATCTCTCTTGTCTCTATCTTTCCCTAACATCTTTGTGTGCTTCTCTTCCTTTCTCTATTCCAAATAACGTGCTTTAGTGGGTACATGTTTTATATCAAACGATCAATAATATTAATAGCTTTTTTAACATCTTGGCAAGAATATTTATTGCGGTGCATATTGCATATTTAATTTAACAAGTTGATTTCTACAGATTAATTAAATTTGTTATTAATTTATGAATTATTAATTCATACAAAGCAAATTTGAAACATATATCGCAACGGTATAATTCTTCCTAATTAATCAGTCAGTTTTTCCAATTAAAAAATAGACAAGACAACAATTTTACATAATTAATATAGGAGTAATTAAGATATTTTAGAATTCTATTGTTAAAGTAAAACATTAATGAACAGTTACGAAAGTTATTGTTTGGATAGCGCATCATTATATCGATAATTTCTTCAGGCTGTTCTTCAAATTAATATGACAACACTAGTTTCACAATTTTTAATTGTCCAAATATAAATTACTAATGCTGTAATACGTATGTAATATCAAAATTATTAACAATTTGAAGAACTGTTCTCTCTATCTATTGTATCTATTCGCGTTTTATATCTTTTAAATATCTACAAGAATTTCAAAGTAATAACTAAACTAGATTAAAAATATGCGATTGAAAAACAGTGGAATAGAAATAATAGGAGGGAAGTGATTGCTCCACCTTTTAAAGAGTTAATATACGTGATTTAGCATTGAAAGTTTTCTTAGACGTTGTTAGACCGCCATTGACAAGTTGTAATGAATGAGAATGAAGCGTTCCCTGTATTTGCGACTCTAAACAACAGTGCAATCTTGTGGATGACCACAGAGCGCTTCCCATTGCACTCGTTCCGGTAGTCAGCTTAGTGATCTTGTAATTTGAAATTGTTAGTGGTCTTTTCCATGTCATTTCAACTAACCATCGATGACGATTCTACAATCGTCGAAATACTGCTTTAATTGGACTATATAATTTTAATTGCATTTTATTCGTCCGACAGAATGCATTTGTCTGCATCTACGCGTTCTTTGAGAATAAATGCGATTGACAAGATAATATCAGTTTTTCAAAGAAAGATTTTCTACAGATAATGCAATATGTGTTATTTTTCTTTTGCAAAAACACTGTAAACAATACAATACAATGAAATTTTAATTTTTGTCGTCTGACGGATTTATGTTCTCACAGATTCCTACAGTTTTAAATCTAGGTCTAAACCATTCTAAAGCTGCAAGATATATTGTAACGTCTCTTACGTTCCTATTTAATCATAGAATGCTTAAAATGCGGCGATGTTTAAAACAATTTTTTTTTTTTTCGAGAACAGATTTTAATTGCACGCTAATTTGTCTACCGGAATTAATTTTTCTTTAATTCTTACTTTCCTCTGCGTAGCACTTTGCCTTTTTATGAACGCAGAGCTCTTTCATATTAAAGTGCTCCATCTCAAATTTATTGCTTGCATTCGGGAATTGAACAAATGTGTTAATATAAAATATTTTTTAGAAGCGAGCCTCAATAAAGGAATAGCAAAAAATGGAGCAATTTGAATTTGATTACATCGACAAAATTATAGTTAAAGATAAAGAACGTTGCATTGTACCATATATTATTCGCTAAAATTGCACCTTGAAAATTGCATTTTGGAAATTATGTGTACACTTTCTTTACGCGGGAAAGAATTATTGCTTTTTTGTTGTGTTGATGTATATAAAAATTAGTATATTATTCCTCCGCCGACAATATGAATTTTAACTTTCTCGTTAGCAATAAGGATGTTTGACAAACAAAGTAAACTTTTTATTGTTCCGGTTTATAGAAAAAATTCTGAAAAAATTTCGACATACTTATTAAAGCTTTAATAACG